AAAAGCATGGTGCTAAGCAACTCAGAGAGACCGTGTCTCTAAATAAAATACAAAATAGGGCTGGGGATGTGGTTCAGTGGCCAAGTGCCCCTGAGTTCAATCCCCAGTACCAAAAAAAAAAAAAACAACAACAACAACAACAAAAAACTTCCTAGTGATCTATAATTCACCTATCATAAAATTCACCCTTCTAAAGTGTATAATCCAGTAGGGTTTTGTTGTTGTTGTTGTTTTGTGTGGAGGTTGTTATTGTTTGGGGTTTGGGTGTTTTGTTTCAGGTAGTGGGGTTAAACCCAGAGCCTTGGTACATGTTAGGAAAGCACTCTAACACTGAGCTACACCCCCAGCCCCTTTTAGTTTATTTTTTAAGACAGGGTCTCACTAAATTACTCAGGCTGGAATTAACTGCTGTTCCTCCTGCCTCAGCCTAGGGAGTAGCTGGTATTATAGGTGTGTACTACCATGCCTGGCTCCAGGGGGTTTTAGTATAATCACATCACCTCCAAAAGAAACTGCACATATGGTAGCCTTGAGACCTGTCTCAAAATAAAAAATAAAAGAAGATGAGGATATAGCTCAGTGAGAAGGTGCCACTGGGTTCAATGTTTGGTGCTAGAAGAACAAACAGGAAACCCCACACTCTCTATTTCTTTTCTAGAAATCACTCTCTACATCTTTCTTTCACCCAACACCTGGCAACCACTAATTTACTCTTTGTCTTTGTAAATTAGCCTATTTTAGACACTCTTAGAAATGGATTCATACACTATATGGCCTTCTTTTTCTTACTTCTTTCACTTAAGCTTGTTTTCAAGGATCATCTATTCTGTATCATGTATCAGTTCTTTCTTTCTTTCTTTCTTTCTTTCTTTCTTTCTTTCTTTCTTTCTTTCTTTCTGTACTGGGGATTTTATTTAACCTGGGGGAAATGTACCACTGAGCTATATCCCCAACTCTTTTTTTTTTTTTTTTTTGAGATGGAGTCTCAATAAGTTGTTTAGGGCCTTGCTAAATTGCTGGGGCTGGCCTTGAATTTGAGATCCTCCTATCTCAGCCTCCAGTGTTGCTGAGATTACAGGCAGGTGCTACCATGCCCCACAGTACTCATTTTTTTAATGGCTGAATAATATTCCGATGTGTATGTGTATGGATATAACGCATTTGATCTATTCACACATTGGTTTGTGGATATTTGAGCTGCTTCATTTGGGGCTATTATAACCAATGTTGCTATGACCATTCATGTACAAATTTTTAATCTGGACAGGTTTCCCATTCTCTTGGCCATTATACCCAGGAGAAGAACTGCTGGGTCATATTGTAACTCTGTATTTAATGTGTTCTCTTACTGGCCATGGTGGCACATGCCTGTAATCACAGAGACTTTGGAGGCTGGAGCAGAAGAATCACAAATTTGTGGCCAGCCTGGGCAACTTAGCAAGAACCTGCCTCAAAACTAAAAACTAAAATAAAAATAAAAAGCTGAGGATGGAACTCAGTGGTAAAGTGCCCCTGAGCTTAATCCCTAATAATGTTTCTCAGTGGTAAATTTCCCTTGGATTCAATCCCTATTACCTAATAAAATAAAAGAACTAAATTTACAAGTGTTTCTCCTATTCTGTGTGCTACCTTTTCACTATTTTAATAGTGTCACTTGAAGTATTTTTTTTTTAATATTTATTTTTCAGGTTTTTTTTTGGCGGACACAACATCATTGTTTGTATGTGGTGCTGAGGATCGAACCCGGGCCACACACATGCCAGGCGAGCGCGCTACCGCTTGAGCCACATCCCCAGCCCCATGTGTCACTTGAAATATGAAAGTTTTAGCTATGTCTGTAGCTCAGTGGTACAGCATTTACCTAACATGTGCAAGGTCCTGGATTTGATCCCCAACACCACACACACACACACACACACACACACAAAGCTTTTATTTATTTTTTGGTACTGGGGATTAAATCCATGGATGCTTTACTCCTGAATTACATCCCTAGCTTATTTATTTATTTATTTATTTATTTTATTCATTTATTTATTTATTTTAAATTTGAGACAGGGTCATGCTAAGTTGTTTAGGCCTCACTAATTGTTGATGCTGGCCTCAAACCTGTGTTCCTCCTGCCTCAGTCTCCTGACTCACTGGAATTATAGGCATGTGTCACCACGCCCAGCAGCATTTGACTTCTAAAGTGATTAGGTCAGTTATCCTGAGAATGTCCCATGTACTATAGCCAGCTGATGCTTCCTTGTGCTGTCATTTAACCTCTCCTTCTGCCCTGCTTTTCCTGTAAAATGGACATTAGATTAGGGGCTTCATTAGATTTGGATGAAAGTTTTTGGAAAGATGCTTCTTATGCAAGGCAGGTGATTGTATTCTGCATGTTAGGCTTGGAGAGGCCTTGAGGAAAATTCAGGACAGACATACTAATGGTTGGACATACATGTGATTTGAAAATCCGGAAAAAGAATGTAGTTCAGAGGTAGAGCACTTGCCTACCATATGGAAGGCCCTGCAAAATAAAAAAATAAAAATCTGGAAAAAGAACCAGGGGAGAAAGAGTCCCACAAGTGTCATAGAGGAGAAGGGACCTGAAGCCTTTGCAGAGGAAAGATGGTAAAAACTCAGGTGATGGGCATTTCCAGATGGGTCAGTGGTTGGACATCCATATGACCACCTGAGCCCTCAGAAGCCTACAAAAGCCCTGTTGAGAGCCACAGCCTAGTGGGGATGGCGCCTAGCATTCTGCCAGAAGGAGTGGTTGAGAGGTGACGCCAGGGAGCCATTAAGATGATGATAATTAAGTTAAGCTGTGTATAATTGCTATGACTGGATGATGCTGGATTGAAACAGGCTGTGTATTCAGTTGTATTAGACCCCTGCTGCCCGGCTATAGGGCGGCTTCTGCTGCCTCGGGCGCCCGCTACTTTTGAGTTCTCCCGGAGTTCCCATTGAGCTCCCGTTGAGCTCTGGGGGGCGGGGGGGATTCCTGGAGAATTCGCGTTGGTTGGAAAAGTTCTGGTGGAGAGAGTTCCAGTTGGTGTGGAGTTCCTGGAAAGGCCGCGTTGGAGTGAGTTCAGAAATAAAGTTTGAATGGGCTCGTGATTTGTGCCCAACCAGACTGCGGCAAAGCCCTGCTCTCTTTTCCCTCCCCTGAAGAATCCAGGGCCCCCAACTTGAATAATCATTTGGTGTATCTACAGTTCATAACAAGCACTTTGGTGCAGACCTTAAATAACAGGACATCTCCAAAATCAAAACTGGAAGTACAGGAAATGGAATATATATATATATATATATTTTTTTTTAATTTTGAGACATATATATTTATTTATTTATATTTATTTTATTTATTTATTTTAAATTTTGAGACAGGGTCTTGTCTAATTACTTGTGTTAATAAACCTGAGGCAAAGGATGAGACCAGGTATTGGGGTGATGCCTTTTCAGCCTTGCTCAGGGAGAGAGTTCAAAAGTCAGTCAGGGAGTTTAGGACTATGATAGCTCCTGGTGTCTAGGCTCTGTAGGGACTAAAGCTAAGCATTAATGAGGGATCACATGTCTGCGGCAAGGAGAGGTCAGAAATACCCCTGGAATACCCAGATGCATGAATCCATCCCCATTGCCTCATTGTGGCCTAGGAGACCTGGAGCATCTGTTCCTACCTATACATTCAGGCTCAACCCCTATCAAGTACCCTCTCACTGTCCACCCTCCAGCCACACTGGCCTCCTTTGGTCCAGGGCCACAAAAGTCTGTTAGCCTGGCCTTCTCCTGAGTTCTGAGTGGTGGGTCTTCAGTGTGCTGATTACCTATGCCAGTGTTAGAGAGACACCGCATGGTGAAGTTCTGATCACTTAATCTGACCCAGAAAACCTAAATTGAACCTTTAGTTTCTTCCACTTAAGAGGAGCTGGGGGGGAGGGGGAGGGTAGGCAGGCTGGAGATATAGCTCAGTTGGTAGAATGCTTGCCTTGTATGCACAAGGCCATGAGTTCAATCTCCAGCAACACACACACACACACACACACACACACTGTGTAATATCAGGCAAGCAATAGAACCTCTTGGTACCTGTGTGCTTTCTCTGTAATGTGGAGTTGCTGAGAGGTGATATGAGTTTAGAACAGTGCCTGGTAAACCCTACAATGGTTGTAGTTGTGGTTATTAGTAAGAGTCAAGGAGGTCAAGATCTGTCTGAGCTCACAGAGCTGGTACATGGCTGCCTTCTAACAAGATTTATTTCCAAGCTGCTGGGTATGGTGGTACACACCTGTAATCCCAATGACTGGGTGGCTGAGACAGGAGTGTTCCAAGTTCAAGGCCAACCTCAGCAATTTAGCAAGGGCCTAAGCAATTTAGCAAGACCCTCTACCACTGAGCTACAAAAAATAAAAAGAAGTGGAGATGTGGCTCAGTGGTTAAGTGCCCCTGGGTTCAATCCCTGTAGGGAAAAAAAAAAAATTCCAAATTGATCGAGGTGGTGATCATCTGATCATCTGTAATCTCAAGAGTCTTGGGAGGCAGGAGGATCTCAAATTCAAGGTTAGCCTCAGCAGTTTAGCAAGACCCTATGTCAAAATATAAAATAAAAAGGGCCTGGGAGGGTGGCTGGGATTGCAGCTCAGTGGTGGAGTGATTGCCTAGCACATGTAAGGTACTGGATTCCAGCCTCAGCACCAAATAAAAATAAATAAACAAAATAAAGGTATTGTGTCCATCTACAACTAAAAAAAAAAAAAAGTCTGGGGGGAGTGAAGTTTAGCAATAAAGTGACCCTGGGTTTAATAGTTTAATATTTATATTTGTTTTGGGTACTAGGGATTGAACCATGAATTGAATATATTATTTTACACATATTTACATATTATTTATATATAATATTTATTATTTACATACCATATGCATTATTTTATATAAAACATATAAATGCTAAATACTTATATATTTAAATATAAAATTAACATATTTTTTGTATAAATATTATATATATAAAATAAGTGCTCACTTCATCAGCACATAACTAAAACTGGAACAATACAGAGATTTGTATGATCCCTTCACAAAGATGACATGAAAATTTATGAAGTATTCCATATTTTTCAGAAGTTGAAATGGACTCCAACTTGTCTGGACCAGTTTTATCTTTTTTTAAAACTGCTGTTTACATATTTCTATCTAGATGGTTTGTTTGAGTCCAGACTAGAGACATTTTAAATGAAGGTATGAAGAATCAGCTCCACTACAAAGCAAAGTGTAATATATTTTAGGCAAGGAATTGAAGCTGAGCATCTGGAGGCTGATGTGAAGATGATCGATTTAGCTCAGGAGTTCTCACTCTCTCTCTCTTTTTTTTGGAGGGGGGGCGGGGGTGGAACTAGGCATTCCACCACAGGGCTGGTACATGGTCAAGCTCTACCCCTAGCTATAAATCTACCCCGCCCCCCCCCCGCTTTTTTTGGCTGTACCTGGATTAAGCCCAGGGGTGGTTTACCACTGAGTTACACCCCTAACCCCTTATTAAAAATTATTTTTTATTTTGAGTCAGAGTCTCCCCTAAGTGGTCCAGGCTGGCCCGAAACTCTCACCCTCCTACTTCAGCCTTCTGAGTGGCTGGAATTACAGGTGAGCCCCATTGCACCTGGCTGAGTTCATGTCTTTCTCTCTATTTCCCTGTTTGGAACTGGGGATTGAACCCAGTGTGCCACCCTGCCTGGCCTGAGTTCATTTCTTGAAAGTTAATTCATGCTGGGCACAACGGCTCCTGCCTGTAATCCCAGAGGCAGGAGGATCGCAAATTTGAGGTCACTCTCGGCAATTCAGCGTGGCTCTGAGGAACTTAGTGAGAGTTTGTCTAAAAGTAAAAAATAAAAAAGGGCTGGGGATGTGGCTCTGTGGTTTTAGCTCCCGTGTTCAAATCCTTGGTACAAAACACACACACACAAAGCTAGTAACTGCCCTAGCGAGTGATTTCAAGTTGGTTGTTCACCTTTGAATCTTCTACAAAACTCCTTTGACTGGGCTGAGGATATAGCCTAGTAGTAGAGCGCTTGCAGAACGTGAGGCACCTGGATTCTGTCCCCAGCATTGTAAAAAAGATAAATAAAATACTATTTTGGATCAGGGAAGAGAGAGGGATGGGGACACAGCCACAAAAAACAGAGAGAAAACAATGATTTTGCAAGAGGACACGGTGTGTGGGCTCTCGGCGTGGGCTGGGTCATCCTCCTCCAGCCAGCAGAAGAGGGCCATGAGAGACCGAGCCTCCGCTTCCAGCTCCAGCGCTGGCCTTAACAAGCAGGCGCACGTGGCCTGAAGCGCCTCTGGGCCGGAGGGTTTCCGCTCTGGGCCACACAGGGGCCAGCGTTCCAAGGAGACAGCCTCTGATTGGCTAGTTAGGTCAGGTGGTCTCCACGGGCCAATTAGCGGCGGCCCATGACGTGGGCCCTGGGATCCGCTCCGGAGTGGTGGACTCTCTGACAGGAGTTCTTTGTGCCCTGGGCCACGCCGGGGCAGTGTCGCCAGATCCTGTTAACAGCCAGCGTGCTCCTAGTCCAGCTGGCGCTTGGTGCCCATTTAACTGAATTTGCCACCGAGAAATAGATGAGGAGGACTGAGCTGGTTCTCCAGTCTCCCTCGGGGCTCTAAGTGCCACCCTGATGCTTCTTCGGGATTTTGTGCCTCTTTTTCCTCTTCTTCCTCCAAAACTTCAACCTTTCCCTGTCTTCTTGCTCCTTCCCGGAAGCCCAAAAAAGTGGGTAGCATCAGTCTCTCTCCTTTTTTAAGAGAAGTCTCAAGTTTCTCTCCCGCTTGACTGCATCTCCGAACCTCTGCTGCCCTCATTTCCCTCATCCCATTGCAGTCAGGGTTCAGATCCCTAACAGCGCCTCTATAGCAAGTCTGTTGGCATTTCACAATCTTTTCTGCTTCAATTCTGGCAGCATTTGCCTATTTATCTCTTTGAAACCAGCAATGTTTCCAGGGTATCCTCATATTTCCTGGTCCCCTCCTAAGCTTTGTGACAAGCTATTCTCTATGCTTCCACGTCATGGGCATGCCTTTCCTTCTCTGGCCCAGCAAAGAGCTGTCCCAGTGCCCCATCCAGGTACAGTTTGCTTATCATTTAAGCCATCTCCCTGAGGGATCTGATCTACTCATGGCCTACATCCCCTGAATGCCAGCAATACCTGAACCTCAGTCTCTAACCCAGATTTGTTCCAGAGCTCCAAGTTCACTACCTCACAGATACCACAAGCTTATCATAGTCCTTTATTCAGTAAATATGTATGGGAGTTGGGAGTGGAACTCAAGAGGCAAAGTGCTAGCCTAGTATCCTGTCGGCCTTGGGTTCCATCCCCAGCACTGGGGGGGAGGGGGAGCAGGGAAGCATTAAACTGTGTGCTTATTTATAATTAAATTATATTTAATACATGTATGTATGTATAAGTGGGAAGGGCAAGAGTAGATTTGGAGAGAGATATATCGGGGATTGACCCCAGGGGCAATTTGCCACTGAGCTATATTCCCAGACTTCTTTACTTAAAAAAAAAAAAGAAAAGAAAAGAAAACTGGGGGCACTTTTTTAAATTTTTAGACAGAGTTGCTAATATGCTAAGACTGACCTTTAACTTGCCTTTGCTTCCTGAATAGCTGGTCTCATAGGCTTGAATCACCACACCTAGCTTTAAAGTATATATATTTTCTTTCTTTCCATTTATTTATTTATTCATTCATTCATTTTGGTGCAGGTTTGTTTGTTTATTTGTTTGTTTTGGTACTGGTGATTGAACCTGGGGCCTTGTGCATGCCCTTGCACTATATCTCCAGCCCCTAACATATATTTTTGAATTCCTGCCTTAGCCTCCTGAGCCACTGGGATTACAGCCTAATGTATATTTTTATATCAATATATCAATATTTATTTATTGATATATGCCAAGCACTTGAAATACTGTGCCTCTCATGACCAGCACCAAAAGGGTGTTAAATGCATGTATAAGGAATGTCTGGCATAGTGCTTGGTACAGAGGAAGTGCTCAATCAAATTTAGCTCCCTTCCTCTTTGGAAGCTAAGAGGGCCTGGGAATTCAGTCTCTGGAGCCTAGGCTAGTATGGGGGGGTGGAGAGGGAGGGAGGCCCTATTCCTCAGACCAGCCACTCTATCCCAGAGTTAGGAACTGTCCGATCACCTCATCCCCATTGCAAAAGCTACATCAGTGACCTAAAAGCTTTGGAGAGAGAGGGAGAGAATGCAAAAGTAAAAATTTTCTTATTTTTTTCTAACATTCTTCTGCCAGGGCAAACCTCAGATCCATCAACTCAGCCAAGACAGCATTACCCCAGATAGGGGCAGGAGGCTGCATCAGGACATTAGCCTAGAACTGACAGCTGCTGCAGCCAGGCTAGGATATATATACTGACCAGGGTTCGAATCTTGGTTGTGTGGGCTGGGGATGTAGTGTAGTTGGTAGAGTGCTTTCCAAACGTGCAAGGCCCCGGGTTCAATCATCAACAACAACAACAAATTCAAATTCTGATTGGGTGATGTTGGGCTACTATTTGACATCTCTGAACTATTATTTCCACATGTAATTTGGGGATATGAAAGGACTCTACCTCATTAGGGATGTTGTAAAGATTCTGCTCAAATATCTTAGTAGTGACTGGTACTTTTGGCTGCAAAAGACAGGAAGGCAGAGCTTTCATGGTGTACTAACGCCACTGTGTGATTGGCAGAGGAATTACATAGTGGGGTTGTTGCTCAGAAAGTTAGCTGGACTCCCAAGACTGCAAATGGGCTGCCTGATGCTAGTGCCCTTCTCCACTGTCTAGGGTCCCTCAAGTCTCTAAACCCAGTACTGTCTGTCATATTTGGGGGAAGCCATTCCACTTCTGGTCACAGGGCACTGGCTGTGCTATCTAAGACTCTAGAGCCTTTGGTGATTTCTGACTGTGGTATTAAAAGCTCCTTATAGTGGGTGTCCTTAATACCTGCTCTGTGCTTGGAACTCAGCATGACTTCGCTCCAGAGCTGCCATGCGATACACTCTGCTTTCTCCTTATTTCTTGGCTTTCCTGAAGCTCCTTCTGTCCCTAATTTAGGGGCCCAAAACACATTTACCTAGTGAGCATGTTAAGTTCCTGTAGTGATGGAAATGGCAACCATTTTTTTGAGCGCTTGCTGTGTGCTATGCAGGGTCTTTAAGGACATTCATTCCACATGCTCTTCACAGTCTCTCTTAGGTTATTATGATTGCCCCATTTTGCAGAAAAGTACACTGAGTCAGAGAAAGATAAAGCTGCCCACCCAAAATCAAGCAGTCATCGCAGTAACACCCCTCTCCGTGTTAGGCCCCCAAATACCTCCCGCCTAACAGGTGGGCTACCTAGTATGATGAGAAAGGCAGACAGACCCCCATTCAAATCCTACCTGTGTTGCTCACAACTGACTTTCTTTTTTTTTTTTCCCCCTTTCCTGGGGATTGAACCAGGGGCTATTTACCCAGAGTTATATTCTCAGTCCTTTAAAAAATGTTAAATTTTGAGATAGGGTCTTACAGATTTGCTCAGGCTGGCCTCAAACTTGAGATCCTCTTGCCTCTGAGTTCCTGGGGTTATAGGCACCACTGCAGCTGGATCACAATTTACTTTTCTTTCTTTCTTTCTTTCTTTTTTTTTTTTTTTTTTGAAAGAGAGAGAGAGAGAGACAGGAGAGAGAGAGAGAATTTTTTAAAAAAATTTGCTTTTTAGTTTTCGGCGGACACAACATCTTTGTTTGTATGTGGTGCTGAGGATCGAACCCCGGCCGCACGCATGCCAGGCAAGCGCGCTACCGCTTAAGCCACATCCCCAGCCACAATTTACTTTTCAACTTTGAGCCCAAGCTTCCTCTTATGTGAAATGGGATGGCAGCTCCCATAGGCCAGAGGTGCTGACTGGGAGGGGCAGGTGGTATTTGGGGGCCTAACACAGAGGGAGGGTGTCACAGAAATTAGCCAGAGCTAGTGAGGGCACACTAGGGTAAGCTAGGACCCCCTCAGTGAGGTCAGGCGGAAGCATTGGTCTGGCATCCTATAGGTCTGTCCCCTGTTCAGAAAGATAGG